CTGCCCTACTTTTTCAGCCTGGCAAAGTAATGAAAAGATGACAATCATTTTGTCCTATTTCAGAGCATTAATGCCCCTGATCATTCAGGTTCTATTTAGACATCATGTTGATTCTCCATTTTTACCCTTAGGCTTATCATACACAATTCGGAAACCACTTGTGAATAGTAGCCTTCTTCCACAGGTTTTAATAGTTGTGAATTTACAGCCGGGTGTTCTACAGAGAAGTGTTGGTATTTTGTCCATCCAGTGTCAGTGGCGGAATGGGGTAAATGACACAATGGCTTTCCATGCGCTCTTCACCCAGTGTGCATGTTGGATTATAAATGATAGATGTCCGCTATAGAATATTTTTCATTTAATCCTGGCTGATTTGAAAGAAGCAAACTTTGTTTAAGGGCTGGGAAAAATTGCTAAATGCCTGTATAGTTTCGATGAACTGGGATTAATCAATAAAGTTGCAGGATGGCAGCTTTGAAGAACACCAGCCTAAAAGATGGATGCAATCGATTAAAGATACCTCTAAGCAGCTGTCAGCGGTATGGTTTTGTCTGAGCAGGAGGAATTTACAGGCGGCGGTTACGTAGAAGTTGGGTTGACAAAATCAGAAATGAGGAGGTAATCCTGGGAAAGCCAAGGGAAATCATCAAAACCATTAAAAAGCAGAAGTCAGAATATTTTGGACATGTAATGCGACACCTGGAAAAATACGGCATCCTTCACTTAATCCTCCAGGGAAATATGGCGGGCAAAGGAGGTCCAGGCAGAAGAAGAACATCATGGCTTCAAAATCTAAGGGACCGGTTTGGACAAAACTGAACTGCACTTTTTCGTGCGGCTGTTGATAAAAAAGGATCGCCACCATGATCACCAACATCCAGTGACTGATATGGCACAAGAAGGAGGAGGAGGAGGAATGAGCTAATTTTACAATTCTTACTGATAAACTACAAACCTAGGATCTGCCAGTCGACTTCAGTCAATAACTGCAATAACTGCCCATTCATTGGGATTGGGACAACCAGTGACGTGCGGTGAGGTTTATGGCTGGTGAGGCAGTCCTCTCCCCCGACACGCCACTGACTAAAGCACTTTCTTTCGCTCGCCTGTGCTCGCGGCAGAGCTCAGGCGGGCTGCCGCGAGCACAGGCGGGTGAAAGAAGTGACTTTCTTTCGCCCGCCTGTGCTCGCGGCAGAGCTCAGGCGGGTTGCCGCGGGCTCAGGCGGGCTGCCACGAGCACAGGCGGGCGAAAGAAAGTGCTTTAGTCAGTAGGGTGTCGGGGGAGAGGAGAGAAGGCCTGAGCATTGCATTTATTAAAGAAAAAAGAAAAGAAGGAAATTTGAAGGAAAGAAAAGAGGAAGCATGGGGTGGGGGTGAGCGTGACCGGTCAAAACCGCGCTCGACTAAGCTGCGCCCGATTAAACCGCGTCGCTGACATCATCAACAGGGCAACAACAGCCAGCGCGGAGAAAGAAGGGCGCTTTAAATAGCGCTTTGAAAGCAAGCCGATTCAACTTAAGGTAAGGGTTAGCTTTAGGGTTAGGTTTAGGGTTAGCTTTAGGGTTAGGTTAAGGGTTAGGGTTAGGGTTAGGGTTAGGNTAATAATAATAATAATAATAATAATAATACAGCCATATTATATGGGTAAATATCCTTATTTACATGGGTATTATATTATATTATTGTAAATATCCTTAAACATAATACAGTTTTATGTGTGTTCAGCTCCAGATTGTTCTGGCTGTACTACAGACCAGCTGATCTCCCTCTTGTCTATATGCAGACTCATCATCATCCCGAATGAGACCAATGACCTTGTATCATCTGCAAACTTCAATATTTTAATTAAGGGATCCTTATTGGTATATAGAGAAAAGAGTAATGGAGGGAGCACACAGCTCTGGGGGATGCCTGTGCTCATTTAATTGATATCCTCCTATAAGGTTTGCAGAGCTACTACAAAATGCATGCTTCTATTGTTTGCTTTGGTTTACTTTTGCTTAAAAAAGACCATTTCCTTGGCCAACTTTGGCATAGAAAGCACTCAAGATGGAACTCATCTATCAATTCACGTACTTATGTATGTAGTTTGAGATCAAAAATTGATGGAGTAAGGAGTTGTTTCAAATTCCCATTTTCCCTATCATGGAACACTCAGAATATTTCAAGTTGTGTCCTTTAGACCAACAATTATGATACATGGCTGAGGCATCTCAACTTTTATCTTGTTGGAACACAGCCAGCTTAGACTTTTCTGACGAAACATTTCAAGTGAGCTGTTTTGCTCTGAGCTGAAAACAAGTCTTTTTTTCAGTTTCATGCATGACTAAAGACCAGCTTGAAGCACAGGTCTTCAGCTCTTAACAAGAACAAAGTTACTTCTGATTTCTGAGCACATCGGGAAGGCTCAATCTCACCATATTGTGCAGCCCTGGTGGCTGCTTTCCTGCGAGTACGCAGATCTTCTTCTTCTTCTTCAGTCCGGGCTGGGATGACCTGCAGAGAGGGGCCCTGCCTGATTAAGAACCATTCGTGCTGGTCCAAAGGTTTTAGTCATTTGGGAGTTGTATTCCAGAATTTGATGACTGTTTATTGATTCTATTGTCAGCAGTCATGGCTGGTTTGCAGACTGGTTTGGTTTGGTTTGGTTTATTGGATTTATATGCCGCCCTTCTCCCAAGGGCTCAGGGCGGCGTACAACATTAAAAAAAACACATATTACAAAAGTTAAAAAGAATTAAATAGAATATCCCAAACAAACCCAATTTGGAATACAACTAACATTTTTTTAAAAAAAT